TTTCATTCCTCATAGAATGGCTTCTGTCACTTTCTGTCTACATATGAATGAAACACCATGAAATCTTTCCAGTAAAAGAAAATGAGAGCTGTTATTTATTCAGTGGTTGTGAATGTTTCTGCCTTCAGATGCATTCAGATGACACATTGTACAAACTTTAGCCAAAAGTATTCCCAAGAACATAATCTAAGTAGTCCTCCAAATCTGTTTTTACTTTATAGTGTATTAATCCAGGCTTGCTTTAGCATTTAATTGGCACATATTTTCATAGACCCTTAAAATTCAATAAGTCCTGCAACTTAAATGACAATACATATGGTTTGTACGTTGGTTAGAATATGACCCATAGGACCCTCCTGCAGTACACTTACCACACCGTTGCCATCATGGTAACAATCAGACAGTACGCTCCAAATAACCATTCTTCTGGCAAGTGCACTAGACAATTATAAGCACATGTTTTCGATTATGGAACTGTCACAAATTAGGCACAAAAACTACTTGGTTAGATTTAGAAAAAGATTGTGGGTTGGGTTAAAATATCTTTCGTGGTCATGGTTGCAATAACAAACACTAAAGGTGGAGCGGTCATGGATAACACAAAATTTCTGGAAATGAACAGCGGTCTCCTGTGTTTCCTCCTAAGGTGGTCTCTGTCGATCTACTGTATATATGACAGCTGCTTCCCAAGTCTCCTACATGGGTCCATGTTTTCCTCATAAAATGCACCCACCTACATAAAATGCAAGTAAAAGATACTATACAAAGAGAAAATGTGAGGAGAGATGAATTGAGGAAACATGTTTTAGAGACATGAGATGTCCTTTTCTTTGATCCTTCATCTGAAGTGTCTACTGATTTCTGTTAAATGTGTATCGGTCCATAAAAGACTTCTGCAAAGGATGCTCTCATGTATCCTCACTCATGGCTCCTCCAGCAGCTTCCTCACTCCTCAGAGCAGACATAAGAGCCTCGGAAGATACCTAATCAAGAAGTGAGGAACAATTATTTTCAAATTTAATGAAAATCAGTGAACTACTGATGGTACCAGGATAAATCTGGGACAGTTATCATATCTGCTAAATCTCTACTTCTACTGTAGTGCATTCACACTGGAAATTGACAATATGAACAATAGTGACAATACGCAAACTCGACTGAACCAAATAAACCAATAAACAAAATTGGCAGTAACCAAACCATGCTCTGATGACAAACCTATGAATTATGGTAACAAAGAATGTACAAGAGGCCACAGTGTCTGTCTGACAAGATGTCCGCAGATGTGACTGGGTCAGTTTTCCATAATACAATATTAACATCCATACAAAGAACAGTGAGGCTCATTGCAGATCAGCTTTACACCATTTCAGATAGACATGTAAGAATTATTTTACATTGTTAGGTTGTTAGAATTATTGATTGTACAGTGCACAAGAGGCATCATTTTCACAGATGGACAGCTCCAGAAAGATCTCTGAAAACTTAAACGTAAGAATTACATTTTATTTTAAACTCTTTAGCTACATTTTGTGAAAAGGTAGTGACACAGTAAAGCCAGTTTCACTGACTTCTGACAGTTGCTAAAAAATAATAAAGGTCACTGATTTGTGAGAACGGAAGACTATGAGAGCGACCATACCACTAGATAGACCACTCAAAAGTTTGGACACACGTTTTCTGTTCAGTTCAATGGCGAAGTGTGTCCAAGCCTTTGACTGGTAGTGTAGTACCGACTGTAATGTATTGTGTTAGATTAGATAATTTGGCTTAGCATTTTTTTTTGGCAGAAGCTGAGGGTTTTCCTATTCACTTCAATACAGTCCAAGTTTTACCACAGCAACATCTAGTGGACATTAGAGGAGCTGCAGCTGAACATGCTTCAGCTCAGATGTGGTGGCTTAGATCTGTTTTCCTCTGGTCTTTAGTGTCTCAGACTAATTCCAGGACACATGTAGTAGTCTGTGTTCTTTGTGTATCAGTGTGTAGTTGTAGCTGTGGTGGTGAAGCTGCAACCGCTCAGAGTTTAAAGGAAATCATTATCTCTTAATTAGAGCATTACTGCAGTGATAAAGTTACACCTCCAGATAATGATGTATCGATGCGAGATGCACACAACTCACCTCATCTACTAATGTCTTGTTTTCTTTTCTTCTTTCATTTCTTACCTTTCTCATTATTCAACCATTGCTCTCATTCCCATCTATCTTTTTTATCCACCTCTTTTCACCTGTCTTATGTTGCGCTTTCTTTTATCCCCTTCCTGTTTCACTTACTTCCTGCCATTCTCTCTGCACATGACTTTGTTTTAGTTTTTAAATCCTTCTATTTTTTCTTACTCTTTCCTTTTTGTTCTTTCTTTCTTTCTATGTTCACAAATCACATATAAGGCTTTTGTCCACATACCTTTGGCCAGGTACTCTGTTTTGTGTATTTGTATATAACAAGAAGCTGCAGCATTTTGAATATGTGTGCCTGTTTGTTGACATTTACAGGCCATTCCTGAGTGTGTGTGTGTGTGTGTGTATGCATGTCTATGTGTTTGTTGACAAGGAGAATGTTTGCTGTCTTGGAGTGCTGACAGCAACGTCGTGGCGCTCGATGCTACATGAGACCCTTCAGGCTTTGTCCTCGTCTCTGTTGAGGCTTAAAATGGCTTCTGTCTCCTCATCTCTAGTCTCACAGTCATGAGCTGCTGCAGCATTTTCAAACGCAATATTCAGCGACAACAGAGCTGAAACATGGCAGCCACCTCACTCTTCAGTTCCTGTCTGCTGGTTATACTCTAGTATGCAGACCATTTATTTATTTTATTGCAATATAAAACACTGGACAAAACAGTAAAACAGTGGGACAGGACATGGAAGTCAGCCCAGCAGTTTAAACTACTGGTTAGACTGAATCCAAACTGTCAAAAGATTGAATTTGACAGTTTTCAAACTGTTTTTCAACATTTTGGTTTTTTTTTTTTGCTGAGAGAAATATGAGACAGACAGTATCAGTCTCATATTTGTCTCTTAAAATATTAAGAAGGACTGAAAACAGGAGGAAACAGCCTGGCTGGGCCCAGTTCCCTAATTAACCTGTTGTCTGTATATTGGTATAAAATTTGAAGTATAAAAAATCTGTGTTTTAAAGGGGGTTGCATGCCAGATTATTAGTTTCTGGGAGCAGTGATTTGTCTGGAGGAGCAGGACGGATGGATAGATGGACCAATAAAACAGCACGAGAAGACCGGACCAGCCTACAAGGGCACATTTGAAATTGTATAAAATCAACTGAATGGAGGAGGACAGTGTTCCTTCTCGTCCTGAAGACGAGTTGAACGGTTTTGCTGTTGAGGTCAGGGCTTCAGATAGAGATGGAACCCAGAGCTCTGTAAATTGCTTTATTCGATGGTCTGTTTAGTTATGATAATAAAAGTTTGAAAATTGATATTCGATTCTGATTATTCTTCTTGAAAGAACACACTGCAAAACCTAATGTGACGGCAAGACCAAAATCACCAGATAATGTCATTGGAACTATGTTTTTTTCCAGAGCATACAGGGACTTTCATTTTGATGGATTCATCTAGGATGTAAAATTTACAGCATAACACTATAATGACTATAATTCTAAGTTTATACATATACAGTAAATATACAGTATATACAGCATGCCATGATAAAACATTTTTAAAGCCTGCCTAAAACACAAATGGCAGATAGCTACATGCTAATGGCTAAATCCTGCTTTTCACATTAACAAAATGTTAACATGCTAACAATAAATATGCTTAAAAATGCCAAAACATGCTGTGATTAAATGTCATGTAACTTAAAGTCTGAACTACAACAGCTCACTTTATACTGTGTACAGTATACTGGACAGCTGTGATTATCTACACATCCAGCAGACACAGTTGTTTGGAGTTGTGTTCATGTCCACATGATGACTAGGTCCATTGTTCACGCTCCATTTTGCTTTGCTTTTGGTCTCCTATCAGCTCCTGAGAAAACACCTAGCTCAGCTAGAGGTTACGCTTTTTCCACCAGGTGGTTGCTAACTTTGTCTGTCTTGTGAGCTGTAACACAAAAACTGACTATAGGTTATCACTTGCGAGGGCATGAACTCACCAGTGAAACCGTGGCATCTTTGGCCTCCTTATCTTTATTGTTTCAGATTATTTTATGCTCATCTCTCTGGACTTGGCCATCATAGTCCAAATGAGAGGAGATCCAAGTTGATGAAAGGGTTACATTCATCTGAGTCACCTTCCGGTGACTCCATGTGCTCACAGCACTGAGCTTAATAAGTAGTAATGAGTGGTGCCCTGATTTCTTTGAAGAAGTTCTTTTGCTCTGGGTTCCACCTCTCAGGCTACAAAAAGGCTGCCTTATCTGATTATGCAGCCTAAAGAGGAGTACCTGCAGACACTAGTCAGGATGAAAAGAGTTATTCTGTTAATTATGTATATAAGTAGAGAAGAAAGACATTAAATGAACATTCGTTATCTATTTTTTTTTTATTCACAGAAAAGGAACATAATAAAAATGTTGATAATCTGCCATGTCATGACCTAATGTCTTAGTGCGTGAGAACCAACCAAAACCAAACTATGATTTAAAAGTAGACTTTCTGTGTGCAGCATAAGCAACAGCCCACAGTTATATACCTGGCAATGTCAAATGCATTTGGAGCTGACCATGAGGAAACGAACACGTAATGATCCATGGAGGGTAATGAAATATAGCCCTTCACTAAACTGCAGACTCAGTTTGTAATTGTGTTTATTAGTCTGAAAATAACAGAGGCTATTACAGAACCTCACTAATGTAGCACAGAGCCCTGAAGAAAAGTGAGTCAAGGCGCTGAACGACACTGAACAACAAATACAGTAACAACACTACTGCTGATTTGTGTATGACTCAGAGACACTCCAGCCAGGAGGAGGAAATGGGATGCGTTCAAATGTTCCTCCTGCTGATGTGTTGTGTTGTTTTGTGTATTTTCTACAGTGCCTCCCCAGTTCCTGAACTACCCGACCAACACGTATGCCTACGAGTCCACTGACATCGAGCTGGAGTGTGCCGTGACAGGAAACCCTGCACCGACAGTCCGCTGGATGAAGAACGGAGAGGAAGTCATCCCTAGTGACTACTTCCAGATAGTGGTGAGTCAAACACAACTCAGAAACATATACATACACTGCACAGATATACTGCATCCCTACATCTGAATAAACTTTAAATCACTGTGGAAAATATCTTCCTGAATCTGCAGCCGGAAACAGTCTGCAACATGAAAAATCGGAAATCTGTAATGAATATGTTGAAAATATCCATCTAAATACACATATTGCATTAATCACAAATCAAAATGTTGATGCAAATTATTTTCCAAATAAATTCAAAAACATATTCTGCAAAAGACAATAAATGTTAAAATGATGTTCATTAGCCAAACATTCAAGTCACTCAGATGCTGAAAAATGTATATTGCTGAATTTTTATCAATAATAATAATAATAACAGGGCAATAAACCAAGTTTTTATATTAAACTTGCATATTACCTCTTGCTCATTCATTCATTCATTCATTTTCTACCGTTTGGTCCCTGAGCGGGGTCACGGGGGGGGCCGGAGCCAATCCCAGCCAGCAATCGGGCGAAGGCGGGGTACACCCTGGACAGGTCGCCAATCCATCGCAGGGCTACCTCTTGCTCACAAAACTGTAAATTCTTCAATAGTGGCTCATCAGTGAGAAGCAGGCTCTGACTTGGAGTATGCTTAGTGTACATTAGCCTTTATTAAAAATGTCTCTGTTTAGCAAATATATTTGATCATATTTTAGTAATAAGCTTCAAGTGTTTCCTGATCTGCTCCTGTTTTAGTTTGTTACTAATGTGGTTTGCTGTTAAAGGCAACAACATTTCCTCTATGTGTGCCTGCTGTCTTCATACTCTCAGTATAATGAACAGCAACAACTAATTTTCACTTATTTCATTAACAGAATGCCATGTCATGCTCACCACTCTGCTGCTCTCAGGTTTGCTTTTTAGCACAATTGCTGGTTTTATTTACTCATTAATTATAGTCTCTTGTACTTACAGTAGCTTTTTTTTTTTTAATGACTGTTAAGCCACTATCTCAACTCACATTTTCTGCAGGGTGTTTTAAACTAAAAGCTTGGCAGTAGTTCAGGGAGACTATTCCTTTCCCAGGCTTGTAAGATGAAAGAAAGCAGGGGGAGCTGCATGTTCATACAGTAAATCAACCAAAGAAATCTTTTGTATTATTTATCATCTTATTATTTTTATCACTATTACCTTTGCCAAGGAGGTTATGTTTTTGGTTCCGTGTGTGTGTTTGTTGGTTAGATTACAGACAAACAGCTGGATGGATCATCAGCACACAAGGGGACCAACCCTAGAAGCCATTAGACGTAGATTGAAAAAGGTCAAAAGTCAAGTGTCTTGAGCATGAAACCTATCAATCAAAATACAACATCTGAGCTACATACATTCCAGTTTACTTCTAGTTCAATATCTAAGGTCAAATAAGGAAAAGATCAAGATTGATTGTATATCTTATAAGTCAGCAAGTAAAAAATTTGCAATGACAAGAATGACAATGCAATTAGTATATACTGTAGTATGAGGAGGAAAGGGTCTACAAGAAAATATTATAGTACTTTTGAGTGTGTATCACAGGGTCTCACAAGCAAAACAAAACAAACAAGCAAACAAACAAAAGTGGAGGCAGATGAGCCATCAAGTGGGTCCAGATATTCAGACTTTTAATGTGAAATGTTTGAAGGAAGGGTTGATTTTAACTTATATTTTCATTGCAATAGCTAAAAAATTTGCAAAGTAGAAGTGAGTAGAAATAAACAGTGAATGAAAACAATATGATGTGAGTATGACATGATTGTGATGTACATTCATAATCTCTCAATTTGTCAGGTTGCATTTTTCTGTAAAGTGGAAACACAAAAACACCCCCCCCCACACACACTCTCTCATGCACACTTGTTTCTATAAATAAATTCTTGTTTCTGTATTGGTTTAAACAAGACCTTGTCTATTTGAAGAGTTTAATTTCTTTTGTTGGTGTATGTTTTTTGTCGTTCCCCAGGATGGCAGTAATCTGCAGATTTTGGGTTTGGTGAAGTCAGATGAAGGGTTTTATCAGTGTGTTGCTGAAAACTCAGCCGGCAGCTCACAGGCGATGGCTCAGCTGCTGCTGCTCCGAGAGCCAGCTAGGAACACACACACACACACACACACACACACACACACACACACACACAACTGATAAACTTGATGTCCCTGTTGCTGCTTACTGATAAACACAACCTGCTATCATCATCTGCCATCTTAATTTCGTTCATTTTCTCTGACTTTGCTGTATTTCCAGTGATATCATTTTCCATTTTCTGTTCAGTTGTTTATTGTTTTATTATCTTTTTTTTTGCATTGTGTTTCAGTTATGAGCCCTGTTGATAAATAATGTTGTCAGATTAGGTGAAGTTCATTTTGTAATACGCTACAGTGAATCTAAGTTAGTGTAATTCTAAAATCAGCTCTATTTGATTCTGAGTGATGACGAGCAAGAGAAAATCATTTTTAGCCACTGTGGCTTCAGCTAACTGAACATGCATCCATAATTCTGTGCCATAGATAAATTACTTGTTATGTGATGTAAACTCAGGCCCTCCTTTGTTCTGACAGCAAAAACAGTTTACAATATTAAAGCTGCCAGCTATAATACAAACATGAGGAATTTTGAACAGAGCCAGATCTTATGGCTCTGTTCCTTTAAAACAAGGTTTTATCATAATTTTGGATTACAGAAGTCACAATTACAACACATGATTATTAATTTATCTCATAATAATAAGTTAACATTGGTGGACCAAGCTTTTGCCCTCATAAGCTACATGGTAAACAAACAATCAATTATTATTATCAAATCTCATTCTGAAGTGTGATATACATATATATATATACATACACACAAAGAAAAAGAGAAACGGGAGGGTAACAGGAATGGAATGGAACATAATGCCTGCAGCTGCAAGGCATCTGCTTTAGCCACAAACTGGAGCTCAATGGGAGCTTCTGTTGGAGGTTTGGTGAGAGTGGAGGGAAGCTTCACATGTTCCCTGATATAGATTGCCTTACTGGGTCATGTGGGTCGACTGGGGACGGGCGACTGCTGTGCTGAAGCAAACTGAGTCTAATTTAAGGGGTTGTTTGCCCCTTGATCTTTCTGATGGCATTATTATAACTTAAAACACAGTTCGGGTGGAATCAGACTTAATTTATACTAAGTCTACAAAAAATATTGACTGGATGGCTTTAAAGATTGGCACGCTGATAACTTTAGTTAGGTATTGTCTTGCCTGTTTGCAAATAAGAGGAAAACTCAAAAGTCTAAAAGAACATGAATGAATAGAAAAGCACTACTGTGGTGATTCAAGCACACAATTTGGCAAAAACATAATTAAATACAAAAACACTGAAAAATACAAACAACTGACAACATGGAGACAAACAGAACTCTTCAATGGACAAACTTGTTCTGAACTAGAAACACAGGAACTGACTAGCTAACTGTGTGACTGAAAAGCCACCTAACCACTAGCTAGCCACCAAACCCACAAATACACACAAACTAATATGCTGACTACGTGACTGGCTTCACAGTCTTGTGAGAACAAATATCCTGGTTATATAAGGGACTGGAAAAGACATGAGGAACTTAGGTTGACTGTGTCTGAAAATCCATCAGTTACAAGTGTTGTCACCTACACATTTTAATCTAACCTATTCTTTTTGCATTCTTTCTTTCTTTGTCTCTGCTTTAATCACTGTTCAGTGTGTCGCTTCTTCCCTGAGCCAGCAGCGCAGATGGCAATGCACACATACATTAACACACACACACACACCCACAAAGACATTAAGGGGGTCAGATGGTTGGTGTTATCGCTTGGTTACTATCACCACGAGAAACGAGCATCCCAGCGGGCTCGCAGTGGCCAATCAAACATTCCCAAGAGAAATCACAGTAGGTCTGAGTGTGAGTGTGTATGAGTGTGTGTGAAGAGTCCATCCAAGGATAAAGAGGCCTGGCATCACCAAGGGTAACAAGGTGGTATGCTGATAATCTCACACACACACACACACACACACACACACAGACATACAATTATGCTGTGCTTTTGTTCCCTCACTTACTGTACATAGTTAAAATGCATTTTTCACTCAGATAAAAGACTATTGCTCATACACACACACACACACACACACTTTGCCTAACCTTAACCAGCACAACTAAATTCCTAACCCCAAGCCTTGCCTTGGCCCTAATTTAAACGTACTTCTACCCTTAACTTTACAGAGGTATTAAATTTGACCACAAACCAATAGAAAGACATGCACATGTATACATTTTGCCAAGTTTATATTTCATTCTTTTTGAAATCAGCAGCACTTTGCTATAAGAAACTGAAACACCTATGAAACCTTCACTTTCTTGACTTCTAACCTTCAAATAGTATGGTATTTACTTTATGAGCTCAAAAAAAAAAAAAATTACGCCTCCCATGAAAAAAACTGGGTTTTAAGATTATCATAACATATTGATAAAACCAACTGTGTCTTCTAAAGAGCAAGCTGGAAACACCACAAACATTTCTGTATCCACCAGCAAACACAGTGCAACATTAGGATCCCATTTGAGTCATGTTTGTGTTCACCAGCATGTTGTAGCTTTGGTTTAGTTTGTACCAACTCTTGAGGAAAATATCAGTGGTAACACCAAAACCCTTTCCTAACAAAGGGCTAAAAGGCTCTTGTATTCTTCACCAGCTGCAGATCAGGTAGATTTTTCCACTGAGTGACACACTAATTACACAGTGGAAACAGCCATACAGGTGTTTGTAAGTTAATTAAATATAGAACAAATCTTAAATTTATATATTCAAACTTTCTGACAGGAAAGCCACCTATCTCCCTCATTCTCTATTTTACAGTCTCCTCAGTCCTTTCTCTCCCTCTCTGCAGTGCAGTTTCAGTTAAGTCCTGGTCTGGATCTGATCTGAAGGCTGGATCAGGATTTAAACTTCACACTATTAATATGATGTCGGCCTTTAGTCTCATTTTTCAAAATGAGCTAGGATGACCATGCTCAGGGCAGGCATGTGGAAAGATATTATATAAACCAGCGTGAATATTAATACATTGTGGGAATGAAGGACATTTTGTCTGGTGCTCACACTTTCTTGAGCTGTCTGAGGGTTAAGACTTGGTGTTAGGGTTTATATTAGAGACAGGTTAAGGTCATTTTTAGG